CATGCTGGCTTCAGACCTCAGCATTAAAAGGATTTTAGGTGATAGAGCTAAAATTGCATGATGTAACACAGAGTTCTGGTGGCCTCTTATAATAAAATAACTCTGAAATATCAACTGAATTTTACCTCTGGAAAACTCTTTTTATAAATTTATTTTTTAAAAAAACTTGTTTTTACTATTTGCCCTGTGCACTTAAAGGAGCATTACGATCCCAAGTCAACTAAGATTAGTTGACTAAACTCAGAGGATACTCACATAATAGAGTATATTCAGCCACTAAAAATGCTTACTATAATCAAAATCACCGGTGATTACCTGCGACACTTTTAAAAGATACCTAGGAATGACCTCTGGAGATTTGATTGTGATATTGATGGTGGAATAGAAGGGGCTGATCTAGGATTGACCCTGGGCATGTGTATTTTTACCAAGTTCCATAGGTGATTCTAATGTACAGACCAAGCTGAAAAGTACCATTGAAGAAAATTGTTTAATAACATCAAAATAACCACACTATGCAAAATAAGCTGTTTACAGTATATAATATGATTCCACTGGGAGGAAAAAAGAAAGTTAACAATGATTATCTCTAATGATATATACATGCAACAATTCTAGAATGCCAAAGTTCTTGAGATCCAAACTTGAATTTGCAAGGCAGTTCTTTTTTATTCAATACATTAATTATCCATGGTCTGTAGTATTCCTCTAATGAATATCTTTAGCTAAAAAGAATGTTCCTACTATTTCCAATGGCAATTTAGGGCTGGTTATATGTACATGGATATCTCCAAAGTCTCTGAGTCCTCCACTTAGCTATGTGTGTTCTTCAGAATCTTTCCATGTCCTGAGTCTGGCACAAAAATCGAAATTTGACATGCAGACCTGAATATCCACTTGGAAAGGAAATACAGAGAAAAAGCCAAGTGCTAAATGAAACTCTGTCCCAGGCCACATTCTTAGAGAATTTTATGACCCTGATTGTAGTTTGATGTTAGCTAAAAGAGATCATAAATCCCAAACAACTTTATGCAGTTAGGGCAAAATTTTGCTTAGAACTCCAGAAATTATAAATATCTCTCTGTTCAATATGTTACTGACACACATACTTTCAAGTCTTTTATTTCTGATGACATTATCCTTTGGGAAATCCTCCCACCTTTTTACACTTTCAGTGTCATCATATTTCCTTTAATTTGTGTGTGTGAGTCATTATTTCTGGAGTCTTACTTAGTCCTTCAAAGATATTGAGTGCCCAGGACTTACTTGCCTATAAAATTTTCCCTGATCTTATACATTAGGCACCAAACAGTTAGTTCCCATTGAGACTAAAGTACCATTTCCACTTAAGCAGCTGTCACCTTATTATTGAGTTAGAAGAGTCGGTGGCACTTTTAATCTTACTGGATGTAATATTCCCTTGCATTCTCTTGAGGATGTGTTTTGCACTGTTTCTCACCATCCCAAGGCTGCCTTTGTTTATTCTGCCTGTCAGAATTGTACACTTAAATGCAGTTGTTTTCATTATTATCCTCTAGCTCTCTTGCCCTTGGATCCTTTATTTCTTTGGTGTATGATGGGAGGGAAAAAAAAAAATGAGAAATTTCTTTTAAGATGTCATCTTAAAGTATTTTTCCGTATTCTGTTTTATGTTGTGTTGAAATCTCCTGCATAGGCATATATGTGTCTTGCACCCAGCAGACCTTCTTTTTATTCACTAGGGGGTGGGGTCTTATTTTTCAAAGCCAGGCATAGTAAGTAGGAATAGAACAAACCCAGGAAACGAACCTGTCAGAATAATCTTTTCCCAGCCAGCCCCTCCCTACCACTGGCAGCAGGCCTTTCAGTGAAATTGTCCAAGCACTGCTTTAAGGCATCTACTGTTTGTTTTAGATTTACATTTTGATGACATTCCTTTTGCTGGAGGTATTTTTCATTTCAACTTGCAATGAATTGTACTTTGCGCTAGAATTTTATAAATATTTAGATATTATACTTTAGGATATGAAAAAAGATGGTGAGTTGCTTGTTTTTGCTGTGTACCACTAATTTACTTAGCATTTAAATTAGATCTTGAGTTTCCGGAAAAGCGTATGTCAGTGAGAATAAGTTATTGTGAGAGGGAACTCCGAAGAATTTTCTTTTGCTACCTCTTCAAGACATAGATTTCTCATTTGAGAAGTGACAATTAAACACATATCTCATAAGAGTTTAATGTGGAGCCAATAAGTGATAGTTAAAATAGTATGTCAGAATGAGAAAAAAAATCAGAAAATGGTTGGGTAATTAACTTCCCTTTGCAAAGAACTGTTAGAGGATTCTCTTGCACAAGGAAGGGCCCAAGCAAACTGTTTTCTTTCCTTCCTAATGAAAAACTGCAGATTATATGTTGTTGCCTTTATGATCTATTCCTCTCCCAACAGATCTCCTCCCTATCCTTACCTGCATCTTTTGCTTATTAAGATTTCATTTTATGAAATTGCTGATAGCTTCACTCTTTTTCTGAAAAGGTTTTTGTTTTGTTTGACAGCAGCAGGTACATTGCGTTAACATAAAAAAGACATTTTTGTCATCTCCTAAACTGATCCTGACAGCTAAGGATTTTCCCTAAAACTCTGTCCTGAGCTTTCTCTGTGATTCCTACTTCCCCTGTTGGTGCTTCTGTCCATTCCCACAGCCTCTGGGTTCAGATTTTGAGTGCTTCCCAAATATGTAATTCTCTGACCTCTATATTGAGCAAGAGCCACACAATTCCAACTCTGCTGGATATGTTTCCACCTGGATTTTCAGCTGATGCCTGAAACTCACATTGTTTTGCAACAGTTTAATACTTGGAATAAACTGCACTTGGCCATGTTTGCTTATTACCAAAATTCCAAGAATGATTCAGTCATAGGGAAACTATCCACCCATAATAAGGTAATCTAAAGGGAGAAAATCATGTAATCATCAACAGAGCTTCCAAAAAATCAGAAGATTCAGCTTCTTGTTGGACAGTCCCTTGTGGATTGGCAGAGAGATTTTTTTTCTTTAAAAAAAGGGGGTGGGAGGGGGATACAGTCAGACAAAAAAGTTATAGATGTCCGTAGAGTGATATAAACAGTCTGATAAAAATGAATGTAAGACTACAAATTGTATCATATACTTAAATAAACTTAAGCTGAATTAAAGACAAAATAAAGGCAAGGTACTTCCACCTCAGGGATTTTTCAATTTTCTTTCAGCCAGGACAGATTCCTTATAGGATTCTGGAAGAAAGGGAGGAAATGCTGCACTCAACTGAGAGTGGTCTGTAGACACAGAGTCCCTCTTCTTTCTGTTTTTCTTGCTAACAAACTCAGGCTTCATAACAATATGATTTTTTTATGAATTGTCACTGTTGTAACTTCCAATTGATTCTTTCCTTCCAAAGCATTTTCTTCATTCTCTTAGGCTTACTACATTATTTGGTAATAGAAAACAGTCTCAAGATATATCAAGTCCATTTTCCAGCCATTCTCTCTTTGTTAGTATTTTAAATGATGGTATGAAAACCTCAAGATTTTATTTTTATTTTTTTTATTTTAGCGTATTATGGGGTTACAAGTGTTAAGGTTATATATATTGCCCAGGACCCCCTCCCTGCTCAAGTCAGAGCCTCAAGTGTGACCATCCCCCAAACGTTGTACATCTCACTCATTGTGTTTGTATATACCCATCCCCTCCTCCTCCCCTACCTGCCCAACACCCGATAAATGTTATTCCTATATGGCCACTGAGGTGTTGATCCGTTAATACCAATTTACTGGTGAGTACATGTGGTGCTTGTTTTTCCATTCTTGAGATACTTCACTTAGTAGAATGGGTTCCAGCTCTATCCAGGAAAATATAAGAGGTGCTAGATCACCATTGTTTCTTAAAGCTGAATAGTACTCCATGGTATACATATACCACATTTTATTAATCCACTCATGAATTTGTGGACACCTGGGTTGTTTCCACAACTTTGCAATTGTGAATTGTGCTGCTATAAACATTTGAGTGTAGGTGTCTTTTTCATAAAGTGACTTTTGATCTTTTGGGTAGATGCCCAGTAGTGGAATTGCTGGTTCAAATGGTAGATCTACTTGTATCGCTTTAAGGTATCTCCATATTACTTTCCACAGAGATTGAACTAGTTTGCAGTCCCACCAGCAGTGTAGGAGTGTTCCTATCTCTCTGCATCCATGCCAGCATTTATTGTTTGGGAACTTTTTGATAAAGGCCATTCTCACTGGAGTTAAGTGATATCTTATTGTGGTTTTGATTTGCATTTCTCTGATGATTAGAGATGTTGAGCATTTTTTCATGTGTTTGTTGGCTTCTTTTGAGAAGTTTCTATTCATGTCCTTTGTCCATTTAACAAGTACTGTATGCTCATTCAGGACAGTAATTTTTAGTTTTCTGTACTTTTGTAAAGATACATTTTCCACTTTTATTTTTCTTTCCCAGTAATCGTTTTTGCATATACATCTTAGTGACTACAGTACTGTTGTTATTTTAAGATGCTAATAAATTTGTTCTATGAGTTTTTTGCTCATATTTTGACCACTCACTGTGGCTTTTGTTTCACTGCAATATTGTGCAGCATTTTGTGGTACTCAGCACTCTACTGGGATCTGGAAAAACATATATTGTGAGTACGTAGCCTGGGGCTTTCATTTTATACGCACATAATGCCCTCACCACTATAAAAGGGATCTTCCATTAAAAAATGTCTGTGTGTATGTGTAATATTTAGCCTATTATTATTTTTTCTATTAGCTATATAATAGCTTACTATCCTGCTAAATTAAATTATTAACTCACGGTCATCTTAAAGAATAAAATAATTTATATGACCAGGGCATTTCTATCGTGAGAGTATTGAAATATCTTTGTTATACAGGTATTCGAACTGTTCAAAGGTGTGATCTCTTGTAACATTTATGCACAGAAGTATAACTTATATTCACATTCGTGTATCATTTTTTTCTTAACAGTCGACTTCAAACCTCATGCCAGCATGGATACTGTCCATCATATGTTACTTTTTGGATGTAATATGCCTTCCTCCACTGGAAGTTACTGGTAAGGATAATGAGCTCACAGTAGAGAAGCATGTATAAAGTATGTTTTTTACAAGTACAAAGTATGTCTGTGCCAGTATTTTACAACTGAATAATAAATAGGCAGAATTTTTTTGCTTTAGAAAAAGAACATTGTTCATTGGCATTGCGTGATTATCATGGTTTATCATAGTTATTTAGTCTGCAATGGACCATATGTATCAGTTTTTGTCGCTGACTTAATAAATATGTGTTTATCATTATACATAATGTGTCCAGGTACAGAAGGCTTGTAAGAAAGCCTGAACATTCAGATTATTGATTCTCTGATGTTAATTTTTTAAGGTTTGTGATTCCACCCAAAGAGCACCAGGGTTCTGTTCATTGAGCACTCTTTTGTTCCAGACACATGCTAGGTGATCTTGACATAACCATTTCATTTTATCCTAATGTCTCTGCAAAGCAAGTATTATCCCCACTTTAGAGACAAAGAGCCTAAAATTCAAAGAGGGGTTGCTCAGTATAACATAGCTGGTTGGTGCTAGACCAGGATTGAACCGTAGGTTGTCTGGTTCCAAACCCAAAGTTATTTCCATTTTACCACATTGCCTCCCATGTTTTAGAAATTATTTTAATCACTATGGTGAGTCTCCGTATTTTCATGAGCAATTCATAAACCTCTATTAAATGCCTATCATATGCAGGAACTGTAACAAATGCCATGGGAGGTTCTAGGGTAAATAAGATATTAATATGGTTTTCTACCCCCAGAAGTGTACAACATAATTATGGCTTGATATCTTTTCTTTCATTTTGTTCTTCGGTGTTCTTGAAAATCAGTGAACTCTGAAATTTTAAGCCTCATATTTTTCACCTATAACCACTGTTACATATTTGACAGTCCAAAATGACTAGTGTGTTTCACTTTGCATTGAGAAGGAATCTGTTTTGAGGCTTTGCCCCTACATTAGCATGTAGACGTATGGACCTTTCTTTGCGCGTCCTAATATTCATTAGCCTCATGTGAGGCACGAAGGAACTGCTCTCTAGTCATTTTTATAATAAACAATTATAATATGTATTTGGAACTGTTAAAAGCATAGGGCAATTAGTGGAAATCTCCATGGACCAAGTACCATCAAAGCAATTGTTAATAGGCTTAAGTTATTTGATGAAAGGGACATATCACATAGGAACCCAGCTCACATGACCGGGTTTATGTAAAACTGGAGTCAGCAAATCACAGTTAATACCCTTGGATATCAACAGTCCAGTTTTCACTCTTCAGTAAATTTTTGTAAATACAATTCTAGAATTAAAAGATTATTCTGTGACAGCCTTTTCTGATTCTTATTCAGCAAATAGCATCCCTTGTTTTTTATGCTTTAACACCATTTCTTCTGAAATTAGCAGTATTTACCCTTGGATTACAATTACTGAAAATAACTAGAAGGGATGTAAGCTTTTAAAGTCTGCTTTAACTTCACCTTGGTTAAAAGGAATGAATAAGAAAATAAAAGCAGCACTTAAATGTTAAGAAAAATGATATAAAATGAGGCAAGCCTAGTTAACTGTTCTCATGTTAAGAGAATATCAAAACAAAAACATTACTTTGGTCCTTTGCAAATATTTACTAATACTCTTAAATGTACTATTTTGAAAATTAGTCTATAACATATATTGACCAAAAGACTTTGAAGTTGGGGAAAGAAGATTTAAAGAAAAATGAAAGTGAAAGCAGAATTTTTAAGTAAAGTAATTGCTACATATATTATTTTGCTAGAATTATTACTTGAAAGGCAACGTGATTGAAGGAAAAAGCAGTGAACTAACTGGCTGGATTCCCTGTTACTTAGCCCTTGTGGGCCTGAGTTGGTTTCTTCATTTTAGCAAGAGACTTATATTAGATCATTTATAAAACCTCTTTATGCTCTAAAATTCCATAATTCTATGAATATAAATTGCATACAAATGCTGAGTCTGATTGGAAAAGAATTATTACTAGGAATTGGAGATGTATGCACGGTTTGACGCATCTCAAGCAAGCAGCCTGTTTTGACAGTCATTTGCATCATTGAGTAATTATAATTCTTAATAACACTGTATCCATATCATTTTTCATGGATTTTAAGATATCTGCCTTATATCTTATATTCCCTCTTAATCTGTAGGTTTGTTATAATTGAATTTATAACCGTAAAAGAAGGACAGTAATTGATGTCGTTACTCATCTTCTTTTAACCAAACCCAAACTGTTCATCTAACATTTAAAAGTAAGATCTTTTCAATATATAGGTATAGGATCTCTTCGGTATGCAAACTAGGTGACGCGCATGAAGGAAAACTGTTCTAGTAACTCTTGACTTCCACCATCGGGTCTTATTTTTCATCTAAAGATTTAATGATTATTTAGCCTCCAATATTTGACAAAACCCCATACCCCTTTAAAGAATTAGAGCTCACAGGATATTTCATGGGCTGAACTTTTTGGTTCCTTCACAGAAACATTCCTCACCTTCCACCCCAATGTCTCACAGGCTCAGCCCTGGAGATGATCAGTGGATATTCTCCAACTAGCCTCTCATCCTTCCGCCTGGATTATAACACTAATAACAAAAAGATATCAATGTCAAACATCTTGTATTATTTTCCTAAAATTTTTAAGTTAGTGAAATTTATCACACTCATTTTATAGTTGCAAATCTATTCTGGCCGGGCGCGGTGGCTCACGCCTGTAATCCTAGCTCTCTGGGAGGCCGAGGCGGGAGGATCCTTTGAGCTCAGGAGTTTGAAACCAACTCTCGCAAGAGCGAGACCCCGTCTCTACTATAAATAGAAAGAAATTAATTGGCCAACTAATATATATAGAAAAATTAGCTAGGCATGGTGGCCATGCCTGTAGTCCCAGCTACTCGGGAGAGGCAGTAGGATTGCTTGACCCCAGGAGATTGAGGTTGCTGTGAGCGAGGCTGACACAGGCACTCCACTCTAGCCTGGCAACAAAGTGAAACTCTGTCTCAAAAAAAAAAAAAAGAAAAAAATCTATTCTGTAGTTGTTCTAAGATATAGACCATCACTTAAATGAAGACTCCTAAAATTTCACATATATTTTTGAGTGTGATACCTGTAATGGCTTTTGATGCTTAAGAATATCAAGAACTTACTCACACTCTGGAAAAATCTTTAAGGGAATGAATATAAACCAAAGAGGAAGAAGCTAATCGGGTATTTTAACATCAAAATGTCAAACTCGGATTTCCTCTCTTTTCTGTTAGCTAGGATTTCCTCCTGTTTTTACTTGGGTGTTCTGTTTTCATTGCCAGCAGGTTGGCAAATAGGTATGTGTCTTTAATATAGAAAACATGTTTCCTGTGAAATTATGAAGTTATAATTCATCCTCTGTCTTCAGGCAGCACTTTTAATATGAAGGCAAAGAGCTATTCTGATGATGTTTCACTGTTGTGCTGCCCTCCTTTGCTCTTTGTAATTGCCTCTTTCTACTGTTCATTAAAATATATTTACAGTTATATTAAGTTTACATGAAAATAGTAGACACAGCATGAAGCAGTTTTCATTATGTAGTCATTTTAATTTTAAAGTTTTTTTCCTCTGCACACATTCCAGTCTTTTGTGTCTCATTCCAAATTAGCAGCTCACACTGGTAATGTGTCTAGTTAATTATATGCATGCGCATTTAAATTGCATACATTGATGTGAACCTTTTAATATACTGTAGGGTGGTCTCTTTATAGTTAGAGTGGGCCTGGTGCTCAATTCCAAATTAGCATACCTCTAGAGGATGCAGATAAGGACCAGCTGATGGAAAAGCAGTGGCTCTGCCGACCCGTGTAAAGAAGGCAACAGTACCTGTCAGATGTAACCCTAATACCTTCTTCTCAAGCATTTAAAGGAGGAGACAACCCCATCCAGGGACCAGTGGAAAGTAATAGCACTAAGATTGGAGCAAGCATTGCAATGGCGTGATTTGTTGCACTTTATTTTTGCATATAGACTTAATTCGAAGTGTGGCAATTCTAAATTGCACAGATTAGTTGGCCGAATATGAGCCATAGTGAGCAGATACTCTTTTGGCCTTTTTAGCATCAGGAAGGAAATGGAGGTGCTGAAAACTGGGCAGTTTAATTATATGAATCTATTACTGCTCTCCACTAAAAAGCAGTAAATTTTTAGGAGATCTAAGAAATTAAAATATTGCATTTATCCTATGAATTACTTTATTTTATTTTTGCTCTAACAATCTATTTTTTTTTTTTTTTGAATGATTGGTAGTGGGTAACTACTTAGAGTTTCAAACTTTGAAAGTCATGGTATTTTTGTTCACACAAATTGTTTTGGTATTTGGGAGATTCTGGAATGTTCTCTTTTTTAAAATAAGAGATTGTAGGCTTGTGCATTTTCTATTCTACGGAGCACAGGACATACACTTTAAAGCAACTTACGATTGCAAACCCCAAGACTTTAAAATACTGGGGGATTTTAAAGTGAGTGGTCTTCTTATGTGCTGAGTCTTATAGTTTGGTGTAATCTTCTATGCATAGCTAAAATTGTTATTTTTAGTTCTCATTATGAATATTTGATTTTAAAACTATCTCTAATGACATTTATGACCAAGTAATCTTTACAAATCAAAGATCTCGTCTACAGGTTGTTTGATGTTTTTTGGAAAAGAAGAATCCCAGCTGGGTAAATGAGGCTATTTCCAGCTGTTCTAAGTTGGAATTATTCTCAAGCTAAAGCAGTAGTGCTTTCCCATCCTATGAAGCTTTAGCTTAAATCCCTTTCAACTACTTCTATTTATTAACCACCTGCTGTGTCTTTTTAAATGCCACTATCTCCACAGGGTTACAGATACTGATGAGGGGAAAAAGTAGCTGCAACATATAACATGCATATAAATATATAGAAGCATGTGTGTGAGACACCCTGCTTGGTTACTTACTTAAATGACTGTTTTTTTTAAGGTGATGTTATTTTCCAGATCAGCTTGCACTTTTGTTGCCT